TTTCTTAGTTTCCTCCCACCCCCCATGTCAGTCCTATTTTATAACAGTGGTATTATGCCATATTTGACTTTTTGTGACTAAGGTATTTCACTCAGCATAATGCCCTCCAGGGTCACCCATTTTGTATAATAATTAATGGGTTCCTTGTTTTTTAATGAAGCATAGTATTCCATTGTGGAAATATACCACAGCTTCTCTAGCCATTCGTTTGTTGATGGGCACTTAGGTTGTTTCCAACTCCTTGCTATTGTGAACCAAGCTTCAATATGGGTGTGCATATATCTGCTTGTGTGACAGTTCGGTTTTTTTAAGGTATATTCCCAGTAGTGGAATTGCTGGGTCAAATGGTATTTTTATTTCCAACATTTTGACAAAGTGCCATACTGCCTTCCATAATGGTTGCACTATTTTACTCTCCCACCAGCAGTGAATAAGAGTTCGAGTTTCTCCTCAACCTCGCCAGCATTTGATGTTTGCTGTTCTGTTAAATTTAGCTATTCTTGCTGGGGTAAGATGATATCTCATAGTTATTTTGATTTGCATCTCTCTTAGAGTTAGAGATTTTGAATATTTCTTCATGTGTTTGTTCGCCATCTGAATGTCTTCTTTGGTGAAGTGTCTGTTCATATCCCATGCCCATTTTTCAATTGGGTTGTTTACCTTTATCTTGTTGTGGTGCTCAATTATTTTATAAATTCTAGATATAAGTCCCTTGTCTGACATATCATTATCAAATGTTTTTCCCCAGTCTGTGGCTTCCCTTTTTACCCTGTTGGAGAAGTTTTTGGATGTGCATAGGTGTTTGATTCTTAAAAGGTCCCATTCATCTATTTTATCCTCTCCTGGTTTTAAGTTTTTCAGGATACTTGGAAGACTATTTATGTTGTGGATTAGGGCTTCTACAGTTCTTCCAAGCTTTTCTGTAACGAAGTTTATAGTCCCTGGTTTTAGTCCTAGGTCCTTGATCCACAGTGAGTTGTTTTTTTGTGTATGGAGTGTGGTGTGAGTCTTGCTTGGGTTTTCTGCAGATGGTTTTTGAATTTCACCAACACCATTTGTTAAAAAAGGCTGTTATTTCCCCACTTGACTGATTTTGTCTCATTGTCAAAAATCAGTTGATCATTGGTAAATGGGCTGATTTCTGTGTTCTCAACTCTATTCCATTGCTCTATGTGTTTGTCATTGTACCAGTACCATGCTATCTTGACAATCACAGCAGTGTACTAGGATTTGATATTGGGGAGTGAGATGCCTCCTATCTTGTTTCTCTTTTTAAGGAGGGCTTTGCTTTCCTTTTTCAGGGCCTCTTTCCATTCCAAGTGAAATTGGAGATTGGCTTTTCCATCTCATTGAAGAAGAGAATTGACATTTGTATTGGGGTTGTATTGAACGTGTAGATTGCCTTTTGTAGTAGTGTCATTTTCACAATATTGAGCTTTCCTATCCATGAGCAAGGTATATTCTTCCATTTCTCCAGGTCTCTTTTTTTTTTTTTTAAATTTAGGTTGTTTATTTTTCATGTCAATGAACATCTACAGAGATTTTGGAATTCCATTCATTCATTGTTGCACCCTTCTCCCCGCACAAACCTCTCCCCCCTTTCCCCCCCCATTTGCTCCTCTCCTTGAAAAGCAAAAGAAAAACTCCCTCATTTTAGTAATGTTTTGTAATTTTTTAAAATAAATCCCTTGTGCTTCTGGTTAGGTTTACTCCTAAGGATTTAATCTTGTGATTAGGTGTTGTGAAGGGCATTGTTTTTCTTAGCTCCAGTTCTGTATTCTCTTTGTCACTGTAGAGAAAATCAGTTGATTTTTGTATGTTGATCTTGTATCCTGCCACTGTGCTGAATTGGTCAATTAAGTCTAGTAGTTTTTTTTCTGAATCATTAGGGTTTTCTAAGTATACTATCATATCATCTGCATATAGAGATAATTTTACCTCCTCTTTGCCAATTTGGATACCCCTTATTTTCTTCTCTTGTCTTATTGCTATTGCTAAGACTTCCAATACAATATTGAATAGGAGAGGTGATAGTGGGCATCCTTGCCTAGTTCCTGTTCTCAAGGGGAATGCCTTTAATCTCTCTCTCCTTTGAGAACAATGCTGCCTCTAGAATTCGTGTATATACTTTTTACTATGTTGAGGAAATTACCCTCTAATCCGATTTTGTTGAGTATTTTAATCAGGAAAAGGTGTTGGATTTTTTCCAAAGGCCTTTCCTGCATCAATTGATAGAATTAAGTGGTTTTTGTTCTTTGCTTTGTTAATGTGATAAATTACAGTGATTGTTTTTCTTATGTTGAAACATCCTTACATCACTGTTATGAATCCCACTTCATCATGATAAATTATTCTTTTTTATGTATTGTTGGATTCTATTGGCCAGGATTTTATTCAGGATTTTTGCATCTATGTTCATGGGAGATATTGGCCTATAGTTTTCTATTTTGGTGGTGTCTTTACTTGACTTTAGTATCAAGGATATGTTTGCTTCATAGAATGAGTTTGGGAGAATTCCATCTTCTATTTTCTGAAATACTTTATGTAGAATTGATGACAGTTCTCTGAATGTTTGATAAAATTCTCCTGTAAAACCATCTGGTCTAGGGCTTTTTTTGGCTGGAAGTTGTTTTAATTGTTTTAATACCTTTCCAATTTCTTCTTTTGTAATGGGTCTGTTCAGGTGTTCAATTTTTATTTGTATCAGTTTAGGTAGCTTGTGATTTTTCTAAATATTTGTCCATTGTTTCTAGGTTTTCATATTTGTTTGAGTTTAGCATTTCATAATATTCCTTTGCTAACTTTTTAATTTTAGTTGGTTTTGTGTTCAATATTGTGTGTTTCATCCCTTATTCATATAATTGTGTCTTTTCCTTCTTTTTTTTGTTAGTTTAGCTATTGGTTTGTCAATTGTATTGACCTTTTCTAGAACCAGTTTTATATGTTTTAAATTGTGTCTTTTCCTTCTTTTTTTTTGTTAGTTTAGCTATTGGTTTGTCAATTGTATTGATCTTTTCTAGAACCAGTTTTATATGTTTTAATTAGTTTTTCTGTTTTCAGTTTCATTTATTTCTGCCTAAATTTTAATAATTTCAAGTTTT